TAAGTAGTAATATATATATATATATATATATATATATATATATATATATATACACACAGAGAACATGAAACAATGGGTATTACTATACACACTATAAGGAGAGTGATCAGTTGAGGTGAGCTTTTATCAGCAGCAGAGGAAAAAAAAACTGTTTGTAGTGGTAATGAAAATGGCCCATTTCCAGCAATTGAAAAGGAGATATGATGAACTGTAGGGGGGGAAATAAGCATGGGGAAATAGTTTTACTTTGTGTAATGGTCCATCCACTCCCAGTCTTTGTTCAAGCCTAATTTAATGGCGTCCAATTTGCAAATTAATTCCAATTCAGCAGTCTCTTGTTGGAGTCTGTTTTTGAAGTTTTTTTGTTGTAATATTGCGACTTTTAGGTCTGTAATCGAGTGACCAGGGAGATTGAAGTGTTCTCCAACTGGTTTTTGAATGTTATAATTCTTGACGTCTGATTTGTGTCCATTTATTCTTTAACGTAGAGACTGTCTGGTTTGGCCAATGTACATAGCAGAGGGGCACATGATGGCATATATCACATTGGTAGATGTGCAGGTGAACGAGCCTCTGATAATGTGGCTGATGTGATTAGGTCCTATGATGGTGTCCCCTAAATAGATAGGTGGACAGAGTTGGCAACGGGCTTTGTTGCAAGGATAGGTTCCTGGGTGAGTGTTTTTTCTTGTGTGGTGTGTGGTTGCTGGTGAGTATTTGCTTCAGGTTTGGGGGCTGTCTGTAAGCAAGGACTGGCCTGTCTCCCAAGATCTGTGAGAGTGATGGATCATCCTTCAGGATAGGTTGTAGATCCTTGATGATGCACTGGAGAGGTTTTAGTTGGGGGCTGAAGGTGATGGCTAGTGGTGTTCTGTTACTTTCTTTGTTGGGCCTGTCCTGTAGTAGGTGACTTCTGGGTACTTATCTGGCTCTGTCAATCTGTTTTTTCACTTCAGCAGGTGGGTATTGTAGTTGTAAGAATGCTTGATAGAGATCTTGTAGGTGTTTGTCTCTGTCTGAGGGGTTGGAGCAAATACGATTGTATTGTAGAGCTTGGCTGTAGACAATGGATCAAGTGGTGTGGTCTGGATGAAAGCTGGAAGCATGTAGGTAAGTATAGCGGTCAGTAGGTTTCTGGTATAGGGTCGTGTTTATGTGGCCATCGTTTATTAGTACTGTAGTGTCCAGGAAGTGGATCTCTTTTGTGGACTGGTCCAGGCTGAGGTTGATGGTGGGGTGGAAATTATTGAAATCATGATGGAATTCCTCAAGGGCTTCTTTTCCATGGGTCCAGATGATAAAGATGTCATCAATGTAGCGCAAGTAGAGTAGGGGCGTTAGGGGACGAGAGCTGAGGAAGCGTTGTTCTAAAAAATTGTGAATCCAGGGCCCTTATCTTAGTACAGTTTCGCATTCCATTGTTTATTTCCATTGTTTGTGTTTATTTCAGGGAAGGACAATCCAACTCTCATGTGAAAGGAGATTATCAACGGATTGGAGATGTCATGCTGAGGAACATGTGTATGCTGAAGGTAGAAGAACTGACTCTTGAAATTCTGAGATTTTCAGATCAGCATCACTTATTGACAGGGTAGTAGTTCCAATTGTAGCATTTTCACCCAACTCAGTGATCTGTACATTAATTGATTATGGTTTGTAAATCACTTTAAAACAAAATATAACAGGAGACCATTTGTAGCAACTAACACTACTGCCATTGTATTTTATACCACCTACATCTAAGATTGATAAGAGCTGGCTGCTTAGAAGACTAAGCGTTTGTCTGCATGAGGAAATTAAACAGCACAGCTATAAAGGAACAATTATTCCACTATAGCGATGCCAGTATAACTCTGCTTTTTTTTAAAAAAATGCTGGAGTAATTATTCAGGAATGAAATAATTTTTATTCGGGAATAGTGTTCACACACAGTTATACTAGCATAGTTATAATAAAATAATATAATAATAAAAGTATACTGGGTTCTTCAGTCATTGGAGTTATCCGTATTTGCCTTTTTGATCTATCTTCAGTTTGTTTTTATAACGTGAACTATAAGAGATAGTTAAAAATATCATGATTTTGGTGCAACCAATCTCTACCATAGTAACTAATTTCTACAAAATTTTTTATCCTCTGTCTCAGTGGACATCTGGTTTTGTTTGATTTTTGTGGTGTGTGTGTGTGTGGAGGGGTGGGGGGTGACAGGTGTCTGTCCTGCTGTCTTTAAACTACCTTAATTTGGGTTCCATTCCAGATTCTGGAGAGGAGTGTACTATAGTGGGCACAAATCCTTTTGCTGGTCTCTTCCCTACCCCTGTCTCCACCCCTCTGAGTTCTAGTCTCTCTCTTTTGGGCTTGCAGTCAGTCCCAAAGCTTACCCAGCTTAAACTGGTTTTTCATTTGCTTGCAAACTTTACATATGTCCACATTGCCAGTACTAGCTCCTTTCTCTTTGGTTGTCAAATATTATGTACACTCTTTGTAGATTGTAAACTGTAATTACTACTAAGCAGCAATAGCAACTGTATTGTAACTTTTTAATTTTTTCTTTTCAGATTCATGTTACTGTTTTATATGGCATATACTCAAAAATTAGGAAACACCAGAACTAAGGCTGCCTCTGCAACCCTAATTCAGCCCCCTTGTGTTATATGCATTATGATAGTAATTAATTATGGGATCACATACTGTTTTTTCCACATGATGCCTGCCTCATTTAGGGTGACCAGATGTCCTGATTTTATACGGACAGTCCCGATTTTTGGATCTTTTTCTTATATAGGCTCCTGTTACCCCCCCATCCCCGTCCCAATTTTTCACACTTGCTGTCTGGTCAACCTAGCTTCATTCAGGGCACAGAATGGCTCTCTTAAGGAACAATTATTCAATATTTCCTTATATCCTTGTTGTTTAATATGTGACCCCAGACCATCCCGTGAGATGGAGTGTCATCTGCATTTTAGAAATTGGGAACTAAGGCACAGAGAAATAAATATGAAAAATCTCTGAATTTTGGAATGTTCCATTTGAAATACCGTGGACCTGATTTTTCAGCATAATTAGCATCATATATCACTTTGTATAGAATCATAGAAGATTAGGGTTGGAAGAGACCTCAGGAGGTCATCTAGTCCAACTTCTTGCACAAAGCAGGACCAACCCCAACTAAATCATTCCAGCCAGGGCTTTGTCAAGCCTGACCTTAAAAATCTCTAAGGATGGAGATTCCACCACCTCCCTAAGTAACCAATTCCAGTGCTTCACCACCCTCCTAGTGAAATAGTTTTTCCTAATATCCAACCTAGACTTCCCCCACTGCAACTTGAGACCATTGCTTCTTGTTCTGTCATCTGCCACCACTGAGAACAGCCTAGCTCCATCCTCTTTGGAACCCCTCTTCAGGTAGTTGAATTCTCTTCCCCCTTTTGTTAAGTGCATCCCATCTCTTCCTAGCAATCCTTCTTCCTGGAACAACATCCCATGGTCGAAGAATCCAAAGCCCTCTCTCTGACACCACCTGCGTAACCACGCATTTACCTCTATAATTCAATGGTCCCTACCTGGGCCTTTTCCTTCAACAGGGAGGATGGACAAGAACACGACTTGTGCCTCAGACTCCTTTATCCTTTTTCCCAGAGCCACGTAGTCTGCAGTGACCCACTCAAGGTCATTCTTGGCAGTATTATTGAAGCCCATGTGGAGAAGTAGGAAGGGGTAGTGGTCTGAGGGCTTGATTAGTCTCGGCAGACACTCTGTCACATTCTGAATTCTAGCTCCAGGCAAGCAGCACACTTCTCAAGTCTCCCGGTCTGGACGGGAGGCAGATGGATAACTCCGTCCCCCTTAGGAGGGAGTTCCTGACCACCACCACCTGTCGTCTCCTCTTGGGAGTGGTGGTCGTGGAACCCCCATCCCTAGGACAATACATCCCATGCCTTGTGGTCAATGGGGTCTTCTTCTGATCCCTTCCCTCAGATGACTCTTCCAAACCATTCTCTGCCGTAGTACCTGTGCAGAGAGCCTGAAAAAGGTTTCTTACCTCTATCTAGATTGGGGGTACATGGGTTCTCCTCTTTCTTCTTCTGGAGGTCACATGCTGCCGTTTTTCTTCCCTGTTCTGCACTGCCCTCTCTGATTCTTCAGTATGCTGTGCCTGCAGTACCAAACACTGACTTCTGTCAAGAAAGTCTTCATTTTCTCTGATGCAATGCCGGGTTGACACTTGGGTCTCTAGTCCTTTAATCTTCTCTTCCAATATGGAGACCAGCTTGCACTTCGTACTAACAAAGTTGATTCTACCCTCTGCGAGAAAGACAAACTATATGCTATATGTTCAAAGCACTGCTCCCATTGACTTCAGTTGCAGCTGAGTGCTTAGCACTTCTGTACCCAGATCCCAGGGTCTCAAGTCAAGCACCCAGAAAATGAAGAACATACCATCCATGATCACCTATGAATAGTTTGGTTTAAGTGACTTGCCCAGCATCACATAGGAGCTCTGTCAGAGGCAGGGATAGAATCCAGTTCCCCAAGGCAGCCTTCAAATGCCTTAACCATGAGACTCTCCTTTTTCCCCCTACAATTCCATGCCTCATCTCTACATACCATACAAATTCTGCAACAAATGAAGCAGGGATCCTACAGACAACAGCCTCCTTTACCATACAGTGTTGATGCATCACCAGAGCAGACCCAGCCTGTGCACCAAATGATGCAGGTGTTCTGTGGAAAAAATAGTATGTGAACAGATAATTAAAGACTTTATCATAATGCATACACACAAGGGAGGCAAATTGCATAGGCTGAGTTTCAGGAATCTTGGGTTCTATTTCAGGCTCGGGAGGGGAGTGTTCTCTGTCTTCTCTGGTCCCCCTCAAGTTTGACCCCTTCTGCCCCAACCCCTGCAACCTGTCCCAGGTCTGATCTCTTCCACACACCTGGCTCCTTGTCCCAGTTTCCTCACCTTAGGCTTCTGATCACGGTCCCAGTTGTCTTGCCCTCCACGTCTCTCCCTTTTGGGCTCACTGTCAGAGTCCCAATCTCACCCCCACCCCAACTCCCAGTCTGTTTCCTTGCCCAGGCAGTGCCAGTTCTCTCTTCCCAACTCCTTGTCTGATCTCTTTCCACTCTTCCCCACCCAACCTCTGCCCTCCAGTCATGTCCATGTCTCCCCACTAACACCATTGGCTCCCAGTCCCAGTATCTCTCCTTGGGCTCGTCGTCCAATCTTAGTCTCCCCAATCACCTCCCTGGCTCCTTATCCCAGTTTCTTTGCTCAGCCAATCCCAGTTCTCCCCCAGCTTCTTGTCTGATCTGTCTCCTTGGCCCCCAATACCCATTTTCCCCACCCCACCCCCCTCTGGTTTCAAGTCCCAGTCCCTTTATACAGCCAATCTTAGTCTCGCCTTCGCTTTCCAGCTCCTTGTCTAATCTCAGAGTTCCTCCCGCAAACTGGCTCCCAGTTTCCTCCCACCCACTCCTGGTCTCTCCCACAATGTCTCCCAGCCTCCCCTCCATCCTGTTCCCCAGCTCCCACTCTCAATCTCCTTGCCCAACGAGTACCAGTCACAATTGTCTTCTTGTACCAATATACTTCTTTCCCACCCTCCAGTCCGGCTCTTGTCCCCTTTGCATTTAAGTCAGATGGCTTCCTCCTCCACTCTGCCTGGGCGTCAGAAATAGCTAAACTGTTTTGATTGAAATTTTCCAGAAAAAAAAATTCAGCCTGAGGCAGACACCCAGCAGGAAAAAATTCAGCCCAAACAGTTAAAGCTTGGCAAAGTTATAAGCAACTGAAAACAGGATCTTGTAATGGGAAGTGTCAGGTAACCTTAATAATAGGCAGTGCTATCCATTCCACCTATGAAGTATAAGTAATGGCCCTCTCCAGAGAACAAAAGCCAGCCAACCATATATGAATATATTTTAGAGATTTTTAATAGAGCAGTTACGATATATGGTATTGCAAATGTTTATTTTTACCAACAGTCAGGGCATATGCAGATTTTGTTTATATTTTTCATGTTTCAGTATTGTAAATAAAACTGAAGATGAGGGACAAGGGGATGCTAGTGTTTCTTGATGTCCATTGGTCAAATCTAGACCATGTTAAGGGTTTCCCCCCAGTTTCTAGTCATTCCTGTGTCTCTTGTGATCCAACAGGAGTTTACAAGCTACTTGCAGAAACATGATGAGGTCCTGACAGAACTGGAGAAAGCAACTAAGTGCTTAAAGAAACTGGAAATGGTTTATAAGGAGTTTGAATTGCAGAAGGTTTGCTATCTGCCACTCAACACTTTCCTGCTCAAGCCCATCCAGAGGCTGATACACTACAAGCTGATCCTGGGGAGACTTTGCAAACACTACACAGTAGAACACCAGGACTATGCCGACTGCAGGAGTGAGTGAGCGGTGAAGATGCTAGTCTGAATTCTGTTCTCTCCTTTATATCAGTTTTGCATTTCAGCATCTCTTAGTGGATCCAGAAGTATTGCAGCTCAGAACTAAATGCAAAACTCCTTTCTTTGATCTAGCTTTTCTCAAAAATTTTGTTATACACAGAACTCACCCTCTCTTTCTCTCTGTCATTTGGATGCACAAGCAAGCTCGCCACCTAGAAGCTTTGCTGTTTCTCCTGCAGGCTGAGAGTGTTTCTATTTTTATGTATGTAGCAGTTGCTCACGTAACTATGAAGATGGGAGCTATATAGGTATCTAGCTCTCTTGGCTGAGATTTTCAAAGCTGTCTATAGGATTTAGACACATCTATTAAATTTAATCCCCTAGGTGGCCTTGAAAATCTCAGCCTAAATATGTATTTTTCTTATAAAGATATGTCTTGTAACTGTTCCGTCTGGGTTCTGTCATTTAGCGCAGGAGACATTCTTCAGAACTGTCAATAACAGGCAATCCGGTCCATCCTCCCTCTTCAATATTTCTGCTTCCATTGAAGAACTCTAGATTACCTGTCCAGTGTTTGAGTGTGACCAGCACCACTCAGACAAGTGCCTAGCATTGAGTTTCCTTTGCAGAGGCTACCATGTTCTCAGGTGTGCTAGCTCTTTTTTGCAGTTTTATTTGGCTTCCCTTCTGTGTTACAGATAGATAGAATCATAGAAGATTAGGATTGGGAGAGACCTCAGGAGGTCATCTAATCCAATCCCCTGCTAAAAGTAGGACCAACACCAACTAAATCATCCCAGCCAGGGCTTTGTCAAGCCAGGCCTTAAAAACCTCTAAGGTTGGAGATTCCACCACCTCCCTAGGTAACCCATTCCAGTGCTTCACCACCCTCCTAGTGAAATACTTTTTCCGAATACCCAACCTAGACCTCACCTACTGCAACTTGAGACCATTGCTTCTTGTTCTGTCATCTGCCACCACTGAGAACAGCCTAACTCCATCCTCTGTGGGAACCCCCCTTCAGGTAGTTGAGAGCTGCTATCAAATCCCCCCTCACTCTTCTCTTCTGCAGACTAAATAACCCCACTTCCCTCAGCCTCTCCTCGTAAGTCATGTGTCCCAGACCCATAATCATTTTTGTTGCCCTCCGCTGGACTCTCTCCAATTTGTCCACATCCCTTCTCTAGTGGGGGGACCAAAACTGGATGCAAGACTCCAGGTGTGGCCTCACCAGTGCCAGATAGAGGGGAATAATCACTTCCCTCGATCTGCTGGTAATCCTCCTACTAATACAGCCCAATATGCCGTTGG